ATTTTGAGAGTCATTCAGTCGACAGATGAATTTATACAAAAGATTTCTTAACACAGTTTGGAAAGTATTGACTCGTGCAGCCACAAACATTTCACCAGCACTACTCCATCTCGGTCTCTTTAAAAGTATTCTCATGGCGTCATTGTAAGCTACTTGAAGTCTCTGTAAGCTCTTTTTTTTGTAGTTTGACCACAAGTTGGTTGGTAGGGTTCATCATTTCAACTTAAATGTGTGTGTTTGTGTAGGTCTCATATATAAATACAATGTCCAGATTTTGGGAGAAAATAGTTTTTTAAATGTTGCTGTATGGAATAAAATTGCAGATCGGTTGGAGATTAAAATTTTGATGTGATGTGACCACTAAAGGTGGTTTCAAATTGATTGAAGGCTTTTACGCTGACGCCTATGTTCTGTTGGTGTTATCGACAGCTGAGAGTCACCAGTTAACACGGTCACCTGTTAAACCGAAACACCGTCTGCATCTACGGCAGCAAGCTATTAAACACATTGAGTACCGCTGGACTAATTGCTTGTGTTTGTAGCGGTCATTTTCAAACTGAATGAACTCAAACCTTGTGTTTGACCACAGATAACGTAGGTGTAGGCGTCTAGTGAGTTGTATGCCTGTAATGTCTGGTTGGTGTAACGGTACACGCTATGTGTACATATCTGGCCACATTGGACTACTTGCCAATGTATTCTACCCGCTCACTATTTGTTTAGGTTGCATTAGTGATCTTTGGTGGTTAATGCCCTGTCATAGCTCAATAAGCTATTTAACGCTGTCGTGCTTACATTGCCAAACTGCGTGCGCACACTTACATACGTCATCAAACTGTAAAAGGGTCTACTACAACAAAGAAGTAGGAAACAGCCGGTCCTACGACCCACAACCGGTCAGAACATTGCGAGACGCGTCAGTCGAGTAGCGGTGTAAACACGCTGTCAGAACGCTCCGAGATTTCATTGTTTTGACATGCCATGAACTGAGTACTTATCACGTCGTGTCATCACAGTGTTTGAGTTAACCTGAACTAGCTTCACGGTCCGGAGCCGCGTTGCGAATCGCCGCTCCGTCACTGACACAAGTAAATAAATTATTCACAGGAAAGCGGGGAGTGAGAGCCGGTGGAAAACTCCCGGCGGCACAGTCGCCCCATTTGCAGTTGTGGGAAATCTGTCAAGAGCAAGAGAGCCTCCCCGAGAGGGACAGAGGACAAATGACACCCCGCTCTCTGCATTCAATTACTACGAGAGAGAGAGAGAGAGAGGCCATGGGAGCCGAATCCTGCTGGAGACCGGGCCCCTCGTGGAGAGGAGAGACTCTCTCTCACACACACACACACACACACACACACACACACACACACACACACAC